GAGCAATCAATATCTATACATTTAGATCTTGTAGGTGGTTGAATAATGGTTATAAGACAAAAGTGTCTTTCATGAAACACCGCTAAAATGTGGCCACTTCTTGAGACAGTAGTACATAAAGTACAGAAAAAGGTAAATAAAGCATATAAAAATGGATGTAAAAATACTATCCATATTTTGGAACGTTCCTCTTTATAAATTCAGTCACACAAACACTGTTATCTGACAACCAGCTGTAAAGAGAAAGTTTCTAAACAAGAATACACTGTTCTATATTGTGGACATGAATGTTTTCATTGTCTCAATTTATGGAACACGGGGATATGGTACGAAAACGATGTTCCATATTAGATACACGCTCGTACTTTACTAGTTTACTCGAATTATTTTTTATTTATATCAAATAAATATTTCAAAGTACATTATGTTATCTAGAAATTTCAATCTTCCAAACAGTAGTATAAATATTCAACAATAACACTTTTTAGTTCTAATAAAATCGATGATAATCTTATACCCACTCAAAAACAGTTTCATAATAGATACTTTTACCCTAATGTGCTCTAAATCTTACAAATTCAACATCCAAGGCGATAAAAGCCTGTTTATCTTCGCTCCTTGCAAAGAGCGCTCCCAGTGGGTGTGGTTTAGCTTCTCCTAAAGGAACCACATAACACTGCGGCACTGGTCTAGGCAGCAATCAGTGCTGGTGCGATGTGCAAACGGTCAAAATCTTACTGAACGGTTCGTAAATTTCGTTCGTTGGTCAATTAGCAGCTCGAGCGACCACGTTATCTGTTGCGGAGCCCAGAACCGTGGAAAATGATCGAGCCGGTAATCGTTTCGAGTTAGAGTCGCGGGTATTAACTACATCCTGACACCGAACCCCTGCGGATCGGTTTCTCTCTAATTTTGGACGATGCGCTGACGTCACCTTGTTCCCCGTGCCTGTTCCGGTCTGGGTGCTCGGGACCGGAAACAACGAACTCGTTGGGGAGCAAGCGGGACCTTCGAACTGAAAATCCCCCACGGATGTATCGATGTTGCCGCGTTTAAACGGGGCCCCTAGGAGGAAGTCGCTGTATTCCCCCGAGGAGACAACGGTCGCCCTTGACGGCGGGGGTGGAGCGAAATCTGAAAGCCGTCTCTGATGTCCCGTTTAACACCTTCCTCCAGCAAAGAATATATGTCCACAAATTACGCGGGCAACAGATGTTCGAAGACGTTCAACAATCTTCGAGATTTCTCGGATATAATTTTTCTGTTTTGTGGAACTACGTGACGATGGCGGCTGGAGAAGGGTCAGAATGTCCACAGAAAATCTGTAAAAACAATCATAAACCTCGGCAATAATCGTTACGCCAGCTGACCATCGTGGTCACGACGTTCACCTGTCCATGGTCCCACACAGAACAGAGGTTCGTGCACGTGCACGATCCACACACCTTCGTCTGCCCGCATGATCCACGCTGCACGGTGTTTTTCAGCTCGCTTTCTGTAACGGTCGAATTTACCCCCATCGCTCTAGAACCGAGATACAAGCAGCAAGGTCCGAGTCCTTGGGCCCAGATCGATCTACGAAATTGTGCGCCCTTTTTTTGGCAGTCTGCTCGAAATTACAACAGCATAGCACCTTGATTACCGACGCGATAACAGCCGACGTACTTTGTAACGAATTGTTCCCGATACCTTGCTCGTCTGGCGGAATATTTTACCACAGTTAATTTCAACGTAAATTTATGGGGACTGCCGCGATGTTGGGAAACACTGTGAGACACGTGTTCCATGCTACAAAGATTTAAAGATCCCTATCTGATCGCGTTATTCAGTATTCTAGTTTGAAAGATCTTTTTGAAGATTGCGGTCAAATTGGATCTCTTCAGTGCAGGTGAATCTCGGGGAATGTTCAGATTTGCAAACAATGAGAGAATGTTCACCAAAAGTATTAACATGTTTTACTTAGCATCGTCACAGGGAATTTGCTGATTTGCTAATTTACTTTCGAATCGAACAAATTACCGGGTCCGAGGCGTAAATAAAAATTCGGTTTTCGTTGGGCACGAATCGAAGAACAATGGCTTGCAGTAGCTGTGGAGAAATGAGATCACGACCTTGGCAGATTTTCCTGACACAGACAAAGCGGCGTAGAAAACCGGAGCCCCTATCGCGAGATGCAAGCTCGGCCGACATTACGAGCTCGCGCAAGAACAGGATTCGCGCGCTAAAAACGAAAATTGCGCGGTTCGTTCGAAGAACCGCACAGTGGCGTCTCGCCGGAACAAAGCAATCTTGCGATCATTGTTGCAAAAATACCGGTAGCTGGCTGGGACGTCGGGGAAAAAGAAGAAGAATCGCAATGACGCGATGGTCAATTTTCAGCGCGAAACTCGTTCCTACGTCGACCCACCTCCCTCTTTTTCTGTCTGGTCCACCTGCTCCTGGACGATCGTTTCTTCTGCTTTTTTTCTCTCTTTCTCTTTTTCTTCCTTTCTCTCTCTCTCTTCTTCTCTCCCGCTTCCTCTCTCGTTCTCTACACCATGGCCGCTGAACGCCGGGCGTCCCGCGAAAACACGTACCAGCCGCGTATCCACGACAATCGAATCAACCCCTCGGCCTTTCGAAGTCAGTAATTCTGAATGATTGGGACGCTTTAGCATCTGTAACCTGACGAGTTCTTTCTTTCCAAGTGCAACCTTTTTTTCCCTTCTGCACCCTCTCGGGGAACCGCGACAGTAGACTCGTGATGCAAACGACGCTAAATAAACAGTTCCTCGTTGTACAATAATACGTACAGATCTCTTCTTGTATCCGCTGCAAGAAACAGAAGTTTAGTAGAGACGTAGTTACCCTTCTGATAAGTTCGACAAGTTAACCTTTTTTTTTTATTTTTATTTAGGTCTATAAGTCCTTAAGACAGATTCATCGAGAATACTACTTTGTTCCTCTCAGATACATTTTCATTCTTGCCTTGTTTCTTCTAATTGGTGTGCATGATATTTAGCTTTCGTAAAAATGTACAATCTATTTAATACTGTAATCAAGTTTCATGAAAAAATTAAAATCTTGCCTGGTTTAATTCTAGGCAATTTTAATGAGAAGCAACAAACGCTTTCCAATACCGTATGCACATTTCTCTGTCAATCTATTCACCTTCCTACATCTCAATCATTTCCTCATCAATAATAAAATTAACAAGCTACGCAGTAAATGTACAAGACAAGAATACAAATACGAGCGCTCTATCTCATGAATAATAGAAAATCGCAATATCGCAAGGGCAAGATTCAGCGGGTACCGACTATTAAAACTTAATCCAGGATCATATCACATCTGAATGCATCAAGCTGCAATCAATCTTCAGAAAAAAAATGCACAATGGCAGTTTAAGGAAGTCATTCCGAAACGTTACAGGAGCGTACAAGTCGCTTCAAAAGAGTTATTCGTCTCGCAAAGAACGAAACGTATCAAACGAAGTTTCCCCTCTGAAAGAAGAAAAATCTGCCACTTCATTTTCTTTTGTCATCGTGCTAAACAAATGTTTGTCGCAGGAATACCAATATGAACATGTCCCGCGAAAGTAGTGCTGTCTTTTGTTTCATGGTCGCCACTCTGGCGTCACGCGGTTTCCCTAACGACGCGGTCATTAGGGAATGAAAGAAACTTTCGAAGGGGGGCTGAAACGTTGTCGGGGGACCAAACTGATTCATTGCACAAGAAATTATTCCATTAACCTTGGGGCCCTGCATTTCGAATGCGTTTGAAATGCATTTGAATTGGACGTTTCAAGTAACTATTGAAAGAATAAAACTATTGAGAAAATAGTAAAACATGGAGACCGAGTGAATGTTAGACTTACGGAGAACTAAAAATGATTAATCAACGTTGTTTTATGTACATCATAAAATCGTAAGATTTTTAGCGATCTATGATCAATGTAGACAATATGAGTTCACAATGATAAAATAAATATATTTGGGAAACAGTGGACCATTAAAAAAGAAGATGGTTGCATAATTTATAGATTACATATACGTATGTACGTCACGTTGCACAGCAATGTTAAGAAAAGAATTCTTACATATGAGCCGTTTATTTTGAAAGTGGCATAAGTCACTTTACCGTAATGAAAAGTGGTGATTTTTTAATGTTTATACGAAATTATTTATACTGAGAAAAATATCAGTATCCCGAGATAACAAATACAAGTAAATCTTCTCGAAAGTTAGCATTCATATTTTTAAACGTGTTAAGACGCAAACCCTTAAATATATCGACTTAAAAACAAAGTGACTTATGCCACTTTCAAAATAAACGGCTCATATGTAAAAATTGCTTGAATAATTCGCCATAGCTGTAACTCAGCAATCTGAACGACCGTAAATCACAAAATTTGGAGCCCACCGTTTCGGAAACGTCACCCGGGGTCAAGGAGACGAGAAAGGCCCCGCGAACAGAGGTCAACGTGTCCCGAATTTCGCCGAGCGTTTTGGAGCAGCTTGTAAAATCGAAAGTGATCGCGGGAACGATCGGTTTCCGAAGCGGCCGTACAAAGTGAGGGCAGGATAGAGAAACGAGAAAGAGAGAACGGCCGCGAGAGGAAGGGCCCAGGGAGCATGTCTTCGCGGCGAGGAAGAAGAGTGCGCGATCGTGATCGCTCTATACGCGGTGCTACTTAGAAAAAAATAAAAGGTAGGCTTTATGGCGCGAGCCTCTTCTTCCCTACCCTGACCAAAATCGCTTAGCATAATCCGTTGGACTGTGGATCGAGGCAGAGGGACCGAGAAAAGACGAAGAGAAAATCAAGTCGCGCGGGCTAGAAAGAGCCAGGCTGCACGAGTGGAAGCGAGACGAGGCTTGAGCCAGAGTGCGCGCCATTTTTACTGCGCATTCATGGCGGCGCACCAATCAGATTTGAATTCTGGAGCCCGGTGGTAGGGTCGCGGCGAACCTCGTGGCTTCGGCGAGGCCGCGGCGACGGAAACGAAGCCTCGCTGCCTCGAGCATCCAGCTAGAAGGAGTCTGGCCGTCGAGCGGTGAAGACCAGAGAGTCTCCGGTTCGTCTAGTGGGATTACTGGTGACTACGTGACCGATTCCCGAGGAATCTTGACAGAAAACTTGCCGGCAATTAATCGAAACTTCGAGGGACTTGCTCGCCGAGAATCGACGGACCAGGAGCAATAAAGAAATCGGAGCAGCTCGGCCTCCAGGAAAAACAATTCCGTGAAGAGAGTTCGCAGACGCGACTTCGCGATTTCGCGACGGCTTTCCATTGTTCCACGTTGCACGCTCGCGATCCGTCGATACAGCGAAACTGATTCGAGATGCTGGTTGCATCGATCTGCCGCGAGGTTCACTTCACGGTGTTGTCCAGCAAAAGTATGACCACGCGAGTTCCACGCTGTCTCTTTGGCAAGCCTAACTCCCGGGAAACCGTGGAGATGCTCCAGGAAGCCCTGGACCTCGAACGGAGCAGATTCGCCAAGCGATGGGGCGTCGATCCCTGTTCCGAGGATAAGGAGAACAGCTATCAGAGGCAAAAATTCCCCGAGAAGCAGCCCTTGTCCAAGAAACGATGCAATCCGTACACCAGGCAAACGAATATACACGGTGAGTACTATACACGCGTTTACGATCCGTCGCGTTCCCGCGGTGCACGCCGGCAAAGCATACCAGAACGTCCGTAAGAACTCGTGGCTTCTCGTCAATCATTAATCTGCGGAAATCTTCTCGAGTTTCTGAGTCGTAAATTTTTATCGGCGGTTTATCTCGTTTTATCGAGCGATAGTCGTGGAGTCAGAGAAAATAGTACGCACCAAAATTTTTCTTATATAGAGCATTTTGGGCGAGAGTACGGNTTGCACAGCAATGTTAAGAAAAGAATTCTTACATATGAGCCGTTTATTTTGAAAGTGGCATAAGTCACTTTACCGTAATGAAAAGTGGTGATTTTTTAATGTTTATACGAAATTATTTATACTGAGAAAAATATCAGTATCCCGAGATAACAAATACAAGTAAATCTTCTCGAAAGTTAGCATTCATATTTTTAAACGTGTTAAGACGCAAACCCTTAAATATATCGACTTAAAAACAAAGTGACTTATGCCACTTTCAAAATAAACGGCTCATATGTAAAAATTGCTTGAATAATTCGCCATAGCTGTAACTCAGCAATCTGAACGACCGTAAATCACAAAATTTGGAGCCCACCGTTTCGGAAACGTCACCCGGGGTCAAGGAGACGAGAAAGGCCCCGCGAACAGAGGTCAACGTGTCCCGAATTTCGCCGAGCGTTTTGGAGCAGCTTGTAAAATCGAAAGTGATCGCGGGAACGATCGGTTTCCGAAGCGGCCGTACAAAGTGAGGGCAGGATAGAGAAACGAGAAAGAGAGAACGGCCGCGAGAGGAAGGGCCCAGGGAGCATGTCTTCGCGGCGAGGAAGAAGAGTGCGCGATCGTGATCGCTCTATACGCGGTGCTACTTAGAAAAAAATAAAAGGTAGGCTTTATGGCGCGAGCCTCTTCTTCCCTACCCTGACCAAAATCGCTTAGCATAATCCGTTGGACTGTGGATCGAGGCAGAGGGACCGAGAAAAGACGAAGAGAAAATCAAGTCGCGCGGGCTAGAAAGAGCCAGGCTGCACGAGTGGAAGCGAGACGAGGCTTGAGCCAGAGTGCGCGCCATTTTTACTGCGCATTCATGGCGGCGCACCAATCAGATTTGAATTCTGGAGCCCGGTGGTAGGGTCGCGGCGAACCTCGTGGCTTCGGCGAGGCCGCGGCGACGGAAACGAAGCCTCGCTGCCTCGAGCATCCAGCTAGAAGGAGTCTGGCCGTCGAGCGGTGAAGACCAGAGAGTCTCCGGTTCGTCTAGTGGGATTACTGGTGACTACGTGACCGATTCCCGAGGAATCTTGACAGAAAACTTGCCGGCAATTAATCGAAACTTCGAGGGACTTGCTCGCCGAGAATCGACGGACCAGGAGCAATAAAGAAATCGGAGCAGCTCGGCCTCCAGGAAAAACAATTCCGTGAAGAGAGTTCGCAGACGCGACTTCGCGATTTCGCGACGGCTTTCCATTGTTCCACGTTGCACGCTCGCGATCCGTCGATACAGCGAAACTGATTCGAGATGCTGGTTGCATCGATCTGCCGCGAGGTTCACTTCACGGTGTTGTCCAGCAAAAGTATGACCACGCGAGTTCCACGCTGTCTCTTTGGCAAGCCTAACTCCCGGGAAACCGTGGAGATGCTCCAGGAAGCCCTGGACCTCGAACGGAGCAGATTCGCCAAGCGATGGGGCGTCGATCCCTGTTCCGAGGATAAGGAGAACAGCTATCAGAGGCAAAAATTCCCCGAGAAGCAGCCCTTGTCCAAGAAACGATGCAATCCGTACACCAGGCAAACGAATATACACGGTGAGTACTATACACGCGTTTACGATCCGTCGCGTTCCCGCGGTGCACGCCGGCAAAGCATACCAGAACGTCCGTAAGAACTCGTGGCTTCTCGTCAATCATTAATCTGCGGAAATCTTCTCGAGTTTCTGAGTCGTAAATTTTTATCGGCGGTTTATCTCGTTTTATCGAGCGATAGTCGTGGAGTCAGAGAAAATAGTACGCACCAAAATTTTTCTTATATAGAGCATTTTGGGCGAGAGTACGGGCGAGGTTGTGTCGCGCGAGTAAATTTGATAAGCGCGGCGTCGAGGAGGGACGGCATCGCTGGTTTTTGGCGGGAAACCCAACAGACTACCTCGGAGAAAGGGAAGGTGAGAGGCGCAGGCGCAGCCAGGCCGGTCGCGTGGCTCCGACCTGTTTTCATAGTCTAGCCTCGCTTCTCCGCGCCTCTTCCGCCTTCCCCTTTCGCTCCTCACCGATCCCCCTTTCGACCTCATCTTCGTTCCCGGCTGCCGGTCTTACGCGACCGTCTAGAAACTTTCGGTCAGGTCCACCCTGGCTAGAGCCGACCACTATCGCTTTCCAAAATTACAATCCCAATACGGTAGTTGACCCACACGGTCCTCGGACGCTTCTCTCTTCCCTCTCCGCCGCCTCACCCCCCTCTCCATCATCCTTCGACAATTTGATTGCCACGTGATCGCGTTATTGATCGACGCGAGCTCGTCAATTTAGGCGTTTTTCGCCGGGGTTCGACTGTCCTGTGGCCTTCGGCGATGCTGAGATCGGATGAACGTTGGATGTATCATTAGGGTGGGACTGGGGGTGGGGGTGGAGGTGAAGGTGGAGGTGAGATTGGGCTTTGGACCAGGTTTGAAAGAGATTTTGGAAAAGACTGCCTTTTGGACCTGTTTTAGGAGGGACATTGCCAAAGACTATCTTTTCGATCAGTTCTCGATTGCATTTTTCAAAGGACTACTCTATCCATCTGTTGCGGATTACATTTTTAAAAAGGCTGATCTCTTGGTCAATTTTGAGACAGATTTCTTCAAGGGCTACCATTTGGATCAATTTTAGAATAGGTTCTTCCAAAGGTTACCCGCTAGGTAAGTTTTGACATGTACTTTTTGAAAGACTATCCTTGAGGTCAGCTCTGAGTTGAATTTTTCTAAACTGTTCCCTTTAGATCAATTCGGAGTTAAATTTTTCAAAATTGTACCCTTTAGATCGATTCTAGATTGAATTTTTCAAAATTGTATCTTTTAGATCAATTTGAAGCTAGAGAATTTTAGTTAGCAACAATGCACCGTTAGAGGCAGACGAGAGTTGTTCGGAAGACTGTCTTTTGGATCAGTATGGAGCTAAAAAATTTTCATTGGCATTTGCAAAAGAGGTATGCAAAGGGTAATAATTTTTAATTGATCAAGAATAGAACTAATGACTGCATCTTTCATTCATGAAGTCTTTGAAAGAACGCAAATGTGTATTTCGGCGCTTGCGTCAGACATTGTGCTGTAGGGAGACGAGATGGCTAGCGAGTCGGTGAGGAGGGAAAATGCCTTTGCTCAATTTACTGGATACTAAATTTGTAAGCATGAAATTATTTATCGGATGCTTCAGCATTTCCAGTAAACGTGCATCCAATTTCACGACTAACTACACGTTGCGCGAACGATCGACCGCTATCTCTCTCGCACTTGTCCAAATCAAAGATTAGGATTGAAGTCTGAAACGTAGGAAGCCTGGCTAACCCTATGGTTACGAATCGGGAAAGAACGCGTCTATCTATACATATAGGAACCTGGGCCCACTGTAAATACCGCGGTGAATGCGCAATGGAAGGGCCTGGAAAGTATCCTCCGGGATGAATCACGACAGGATGACTCACGCGTGCTCTCGGACGGAATACCTGAAGGGTCCCCTGACTCATCGAAGTGCCCACTTTTCAAGCAGTAAGACGAAGTTGCGATCGCATTCCTTAAATTCCGACTGACCCGTTTCGTTTGCGTACCCGTGAAACCCGACGGTCCCATACCGCACAATGGATATCATAGACTGTTGACCAAGTGGTTGTGTGCGACCGTCCGCGAAACTGCAATTTGAGGCATGTCTTCTCATTCGTTAGCAGAGTCTCGCCAAGGTAGCAACGAGGTTCAATTTCATTCGTCTACTTCCCCCGCTATATCTGTAACTTCCGTTGTCTCGTCACGGTCAATTCACTTTAGTTTGCGAAATAGGAAACGTAGATTTGAAAAAAAAGTTGCCTCGATGCTCTGCACCTGTAATCACGACTCTTTAACAGATAAGAGAAAGAGGCAACGAAAGCAATGACAAATCATCGTATCCGCAGAGGAGGTAGTGTATTTTGGAGCTATTCTAGCATCGATAACACTAAATTCACTATTTTAACAGCGCACACAACTTTACCCAGTACTCCCTTCGGCAGTTTCGCTCGGTCGGTGCAATCGGAGCAGGAATTCCCACGTAGCAGATTTTCTTGCGTAAAAAGCAGTTCCTCTAAACAGCGGCATTTCTTCTTCTTCGAGTTATTCCACCGTGAAATAACGGCGGAAGGAAAAAAGACAGTTCACGTACGGAGTGCTGGATCTTTGGGCTATTAGTCTAAGGGCGCGAGAAAATCGCCGGCGAATCCTGGTCTAGCGCCTCGCAGCTGCAAAAACCGAGCCGTTTACACAACTATTCGTTCTGCGATTTACTCTGATAACAAGCTCGCCGATGATTCCTCGGCCCCGAAGAAGCCCGTGAAGAGCCAACAGAGCGAGACATCCCAACGAGCCCTTTTCCACGGACACACCTGTTCACCCCCGCCACAGGACTGCCATTAGCTTTCAACTGTCTTTTTCCCACGATTAAATCGGACTTCGCGAACACACGCGATACTGGTCACGGGACCTTCCGAAGGCCGTGTGCCACCTGTCGCGATAGCCGGCTTCTTACTCTTCATTTACATTTACACCTAGCCCCGCGACACCTTCTAACCCTATTGCACTGTCGGTTCTTCCGATTGAACGCATGTCGCCGACCGCAAGCTCGTTCGAGCGTACCTGTTAGTATGTTCCTCGATGGCAGCCCGCATGTTCTGTCAGAAGAAAGCGCGGACATTTCCATAAGACCTATGGCAATAATGGCATAAGTAATGGTCTTCCTTGATGCAATTTCTATCTAGAAAATCCGTTCTTGTATTCGGTCTTTCAATGGTTCTGGTCTTCTGTAGTCGTTGAATAGCTTCTTCTATTTTTGGATTTGCGGAAGTCTCGAGTTCGACGATAATTTCAAGAGTTCATTATCACTGTCTGCGACTTTCGAGGTTGCCGGCGGTGTTTTTTTGCGATATCGCGTTATCTGGCGGAGCGGAACTTCTTTGCGGCTAGATGATAATGGTCCTTTCTCGTTTTGTACTGCATCGAATCTTGCACCGTATGGTGGCATTATCGTATCAACAGTTCTGGCCTGATAAAAGAGATCGACGACATTGAACGTCCAATTTCGAGATTATTGAGAGTTTCGGAAATGATCATTTTATCAATAGATCGTCTGTACAAAATAGAAAAGAATTTGCTTGTATAGAGTTCGGTAAAAATGGTAAGAATGTCCCATTAATTTTCGTCGATACGATTTCATGTAACAGCTTCGCTTACAATTGAAAACTAACATTCAACAACTGCATCAATTGACTACCGAGTTACCAATCAAGGCACCCTATTGCACCAAAACCCTAATCACCAGATCCTCGCAGCAGGACGATTGATGGCATGCAATTTAAACGAACCTAGCAAGTCATCCCGTCTTCATCTCGCCAAGACTGCGCTCTCGGGCGAGAAAGACGCGGGAAAGGAACAAAAATAGAAAAATCCGATCGTTTCAATCCGCTCGAGGAGCCTCGAAGAATCCTGCATCCTCCTTCGGAAGCTCACGCGTTCGAAATAGAACAGCGAGGGGACCATTTTAGGTTCCTCGCGTGTGTACCCGAAAGAATCGAAAAGAAACTGACCTCCTTTCAAGGAGCTGGTTGGGTGAAAATCCCCGGGTTTGATTGAAAAACGCTCGAGGGGGGGGAGGGTCTTTGGGGTTCACGATGCTGTTCGGACAAAAGCGATCTCTCCATCTTTGTGCCTGGATCTCTCCGGATCGAAGCATATGGATAGGTAGACACGTCTATCACTTCACCAGGCGCTACGCGGTGTCTAGGATAGTTTCTTGCGCGGTTCTAGGCGGGATAACAGATGTTAACAGACGGACTCCTTCGCGAGAACCTGCGAAAAAACCAGAGGACTCGTTAAGAAAGCATGGTTTCGCGCGCCATATGGCGAACTAGCGCGAAAAGGATCCTGAGAGAGGGATCAACGTGTCCTCGACATATGGCCGTTCCGCTTCGTCGTCCCACGGATTTGTTTAAAGTTCAGACGCACTTGTTCTTCATCCAGATCCCGGGATTTCTAAGTTCCAAGATGATTATTTTATGCAAAGGTTTGTTTTCTTTATTGGATCGTGATGTTCTAGGGGCTTTGTAATTCGTCTTTGAAAATTTCACCACCTTTAGAATCGTATTTTAGGCAAAGTCTTTTGGTGTACAATAGCGTCTAAGACACCAGATTTGTCCTAAATGAAATACTAGGTATTTTGGTCCGTATCTAGGTGTAAAGCACAGCGTAGGAAGGAGAGGTAAACCGACTTCATAACTACTCCTGTGATCTTGAAGGTTTAATTTTGATACAGTCACTACAATAACACTACCATAGTAGTAGTATCACACTTGTACAAATATAATTTAAAAAGGTAATGTATCGGTGAGCACCGATATGTTATAGCACCTCTCCTTCTTACACCGGGATTTAAAGGCCGCTATTATACAATATTATTACTATATATATATTAGATTTATTATATTACACTACAAGGTAATCCATTGCGTTTCTTTGACTATAATTCTTGTTACAAGGAGCTAGTGAAATCAATTTAATGGTTTTCAATATCTTCAACTGTCCACCAAGATAACGATTCCTCTTCGAAAAAGCTGGTCCCTTTAAAATCGTTAAATTAAAGCGAGAAATATAATATAAATACCAATGTTCATACAAATTCTTTCGATGAGATATGCTATCGAACAGAAATGACTATTTTATGTGTTAAGGCAAACGCGCACTCATCCAGCGATTTCAATTAAAATTCTTTTGTCACGTATTCGTAAGCACAAATTTTAAAATAACTATAGAAGAACTTGACGAGAGAAACTGCATACAGTGGAATCGATAAAATTAATACGAAGTTGATGTTAAAAATTGGTTGGTGCAGTTGATAATTCAACTCCTAACCGGATTAAAAAAGTCGTTATTAATATACGTTAATATAATTATTTAAAAATTCATGTAATCCTCTACTAACTCATCAAGTTTGCTATGTTGCAACGTAAATCTACTTGTACCTACTAATTTGGAAATGTGCAACATTTATTGAAACAATAACTTGCAGTAATTGGCATTCCGGTTAAGGGTTAAGGAAGGTTTCTCGCATTTGATACTTTTCTCTCGTTGATAAGGCGCTTTTCATTGTGAATCTCTGATATTTCATATTTGGGGATAGCAACTTTCGATCTTGCGCAAAAATCAGACAATGTAAACAAGAACTTGTCAGCGTGCTACCACTAACGCGGGATCGCACCTGCCTGGCGGGTAGATCGAGTAAAAAGGAAAGCAGCAAGGGCGCTTATGGGTGGCTACCTGATCGAAAATAGGGTGTCCACAAGACGTTTTGTTCGTCAGGGTGCTTTGTTGTGGAAATTTCATGTTTCGCGCTTCCCCATACAGGTTAAAACCGCGTGTCGCAATCAGCCGAGCGCGCTCTCTCAATGGAAACTATAAGACTGCGCGAACAATGATCACACAACGGTTTTCCCCCGCATCTTCTCCTTTATTTCATGTTTTTCTTTTTGCTCCTTTCCCACAACTAAGCAGAAGTGAGTCTACCGATGCCGAATCGCGCGCGGGGGAATCCAACTTTCGAATTCGCGATTCGACGAAGGCGCGGTCGTTGCGGTTTCAATTCTAATTGACTACCGAATGTGCATACTAATCTAAAACTTGGCCTGTTTCTCGTTGCAGATTACTGGCAAGCCCGTAAGGCGTGCGAGGTGAATAAGAAGCCGCTTGCATCATCGCTGGACGCGGCGAAACAGCAGAACGAGGCGTCGAAAACGGCGAAGACGACGATCGTTAAATCATCGAAAAAATAATCGATGCAGAACTGACGAAGCCAGTCAAGAGAGAAAGAGAGAGGGAGAAAGTTCTCTCGCTGCCAATCGACTACTGTATATTTATTTGGTCGCCCTTCTTCCGTGATAGTCGTCGCCGAGACGGCGAGCAACGAACGTCCTACATAGCGTTAGTCGCGAATTGTTGAATGTATTATTATTCCTGTAAATACTTGCGTCCCGTGATTTATGGAGGTTTGGACGGGCTTACTGATCGCGTCTCTCCAAAGGAGAGGAACGAGGACGGAAAACTGGGAACGTGTCGACTTCGACGAGACAGAAAATCCTTTCGTCGCAGTCGAAACTTCAAGGCTGCCGGTTAAAGAGCTCGAACGTACAACGTCCTTCGGAAACAGTGAGCCCGAGTCGAAAAGCCTGATTCGGTTGGTTCCTCCAACAAATGCAGCGCCTCCAAAGAGTTATCCAATACGACGACGAAAGTCCGAGATGTGTCTCCTTTGGTCTTTGCGTCGAGACGCTGGAGAAAGTCCTATTATACTGTGAAAGTAAATCTACCGAACTTAGGATTACGGAAAATCTCTAGTCATCTAGTTGTTTAAGCGAAATAAAAATCGTTCTTTTATACGCAGTGTTTATCTTTTAATCGTGCCCCCTCCTTCGTTTAGCGATAGTCAACGTAGATAAGTCATGATTAATATAGTCCAAGACATTTTTTGAATGCACTTGTCAGCTTGGAGTGAGTGGAATTGGTTGTACAGCTATTCGGACCCACTGATTCAGCTCTCTTATTGTTATTATTATTATTATTATTATTATTATTATTATTAGGAAGAACCATTTCTAACGTTAAAAGTAGCTGTTTAGTATTTATAATTATTGAAATCATACATATGTGTAGCTCTTTTGTCGGAAATTTTCAAATAGAATTATTTGTTTAAACACATGTCACAATAGAAACTTTGTAAAATTTTAGTGGGGTAACTCTGAGAATTATTGTGGTACATTATACAAGTCAGTTAGTTTGATACTTCCAGAAAACTGAGATAACTCATTTTTTAAAGAATAAAACTGAAGATTATTATAATTACGAATTGACTGAAGAAATTTATAATAAACAATTTCTTGAACCAGAAACAAAAATTAGAGACACACCGGATTCCGAGACCTCAATTATTGCTCATGTAGAAATACTTAAAAAAATGCACATACTATATAAGTACAGTATGTAACTACGACCTGTTTTTTGAAGAAGACAACTGTGACGTGCCAATAGCGACAGTAACTGTTCAGGTTTCTGCTACAACGCACATGTTGCGAATGCTGAGTAACAGGAGCCGATATGTCAACTATGTATTACTAACCGTTATCTGACAATGAGTTCTATTTTTCGAAGAGCATATAGAAAGTCGAACATTAGCAAATGAAACAAGTATTATTATCATTCAGATAAATATTTAAGTTAAAGATAAATCAGTTTACTTTTTAGTTCGATAAGAATTGCAATTTATTTTGAGAGGTCGCTTGGTAAATTGATAATAGCAGAGGTTCAAAGTAAATTAGATTGCTAGAATGAGGTAAATCGTCAGGGAGATAATGGTTTAGACAGTTGACCCTGCTAATTCTGCAACAGGGTCTAAATCTGTCGGTCGTTCAGGAAGGCTTGACGAGAATTAGCCAGCTGAGGAATATGGACGCTATTTTGTAACGAACATTTTGTAATATCCACCTGGACGGAGCCATGGTGGCCTGCGGCACACGTGTGGGGTAAACTATACGGTGGGCGATAGAACCATGACTGCAACGACCGTTACTAACCCACTTTATAACTTCCTGCACTAACGCTGGAAGAAGTCCTACCATCCACTTTTAATTCGCAGTTTCTTCTCGCACTTTCAAATTCCTCGTTATTGTTGAGGAAACGTCGCACATTGAGGTATGTGACTTGAAGAAGCGAAATAAAATCATTTCTTGATTATTTGTTCATTTTGGCTGTCATTTTGATTATTTGTTCATTTTGGCTGCGACTTCGGCTTCAAAATGGCCTATCTCCAAATCAACCTAAACTGGTATCATCGTTCATGTTAGTTTGGTTTCTTTTTGAATTAAGTGATAAATTTAATATATTTACTATGCACTAAACTTATGTTAGATCACGCTTTTCTATCTCTCATATTTTATCAGTTATACCTAATAGAATATATTTAATATTTATATTATTCTTTAATTATGAATTTAACGGAATTCAGGGTTCATTTTAAAAAGAGACTTTCTTCTGAAAAAAATTGACTGCTAATAGCTGCTAACCGGGAAGTTGGAGACATTTTTGTCGGTGAAGCATCAGGTTGCGATAGCAGTCGGTGATCTCGCTTCGATAGCTCGTCATCCAAATAATGTAACTATAATACATTCTATCTTCAAATATTATAAAAGTGCAAACTGTTTACGACGAACGCATTAAAAACTTTAATTCTGTATTTCTTTCCCTTGTGATAAGGAATAGAATCCTATGATTTCCATAGTCCACAATGCATCAATGCATGGTAAAGTAATAATTTTAAATGCTATTTATACTAATTGGACAGCTAAGTGAGGAAGCTGCAGAGACACAAAACAAAGAATTTTGATGCATGAGAATATTCCAGACAAAAATGTAACTCAGATGTTTTAAGCAGTTTGAATAAAATATAATATTACTTTAACATATCGTAATATATAACTGCTAATTAAAATAATTGAATATTATTTCAATTCCTTAATTACAAATAAGTTGCTACTCACTTTGGAACCAATAATGACGAATATGAGGAAAAAAATAAATAAAAGAGCAAATCCATACTTAGAAGAAACGATCCCATTATTCCTTCCGGATCAATTTTTGAAAGAGGAAGAAGAGGGTGAAACTGAATCGGAAGAATCCGAATAAAAAGATGGTTTCAATTTCTATGTTTAAAATCATGTTTTTTCTTTATATATAATTGTTTATTAAAGAAATTGTGCAACTGTCTTTTTTATTATTACATATCTACATATAATAAATTATAGTATTCGATGAAAATATTGGATACAAATACATGACTTTCGATATAAATGTTTTTTTCCGCCTTGTATACTCCACTGTACGTCAGTTAGCTAATTCATCCCTCATTACTAGACTGCGGATCTTCGCAAAATAAAAATTATCAGCACTAATTTCAAAACACAGGAACCTTATGCAACTCGTTTCCCTTTCAGATAATTTTAGCGAATTGGAATTAATGCATTAACATTCCTAGTTTCTTTTAATCTGTTCACTATTTTATGTTTCATCTACTGATTTTTGTCATAAATACATAATATTCGCTCTCTAAACATTATCTTGACTTAATTTGTGCGTCTGTATCAAATCATCGCATTGACATGAAAAATCAATAAATATCAGTAATATTATCTGCATATTTTGAACATTTCGGATTTCAAAGTATTTTAGTCAAATTTTTGTAACATTTTGTAGAAAAATCTCCAAGTGTCAACGCAAAAAAATATCACAACCATACATAGGAAAACACTACACAAAACACGGCACCCAAGACATGCAAATTAAAAAAGTCCTGCTTCAAAAGGTATGACTGGGTGACTATGAAGATATGTACTGGGTATAGATAGATAAAGGACCGTCAAAAGATCAGATTGACCAAGTAGATTTTTACGAGCACACCCTGTACAGACGCGTGTCTGAGCGTTTACTTATCAGCGGCGCGATGCGAGCATGGGGGTGGCAGAGCACGGTACATATACGGTTAATTGTAATGCGTGATGCACCGCAGGGTCTTCAGCCATGGGGGAGCCGACCGAAGGGAAGCAGCTGGTTCATGGTTTTAATGGTTGTCATCCTAGCTGGTCATTTCGATAATGGTAACCAATACCACCACCCTGCGAAACTCTTTCAACCGCATTAAATCGAATATTCGAACCGAGCAGGCCACTCCAACGATTCCATAACCGGTGCCGCAGAAAATTTAATAAAACCGCATTTCCCGTAATTCGAACAATCGAACGCTTCAGCCATGCATTAAATACAATAGTCCGAAAATAGACTGCAGTTTTGCTTAAAATTAATTTACATAGTCAAAATAACAGCCTCTGCGTGCAAAATTACATCATCCATTTATTATATTATTCTGCACAATTTTACAAATAAGATAATTCTAAATTTTATGAGATTGCCTTTTTTTCAGTCAGTATTATACTGTATCTTTATTGATCACAGTTTTAAAATCAACAATTACTTCACGCCTGAATTTTAATTAACAGTATTTTTTCCAATTTTCTGTAATCGTACTGCATAAGTTTTTGCAATTACACTGTATATGATTTTCTTCACATTTGGTTTAAATGTAACACTTTTATGAAAATATTGAATTTAATAAAGAATATCAAAGTACAAATATGTATATTCTTCTTAACTAGTAGGATGTTTCTGGCGAGTATACTCCTCATGAAGAAACGGCAACATTTTCCGTTATGACGAATATACTTGTCAAAAACAGCCAACTTATTAATAGCTATCAAAATTTACAGTTCTTGTGTCCACCTGGAACTGACGATTCGCGCGTCCATGACGACGTCGGCGATCGATATCACGGAGGATGTGCACAGTATAATTGGAAACCTAAAACAGGACGTGACCTCATCCCGCGTTATTGTATCCAGGATCGTTAAGGACCTCGTCGTTACGATATCCAATTACTCGGCGAGGAGCGAAACAAAAGGAGCGAGCCTCCTCTCGAGAGGCATCGTGAGCGCTCCCCGGCGACCCTAGATCGAACGGTCGCGGAACACGGGATCGCTGGATCGCTGGATCGAAAACCAGGTGCGCGACCCAGCCCGCCAAGGCGCTTAATGAGCGTTTATCAGCGGAACACATGTAGTACAAGCCCTGGCGCTGGCCTAATTGATTGAATTAGCCATGAAACCAGAGTGCGTTCGAAGCTACACACCTGACCCCGGCGAACTTCCGACCGATCGATGTTGATGGATTGCCGATCCAGAACCCGATCGATCAAACTTCCTTGTTCCGCGAACAAACCCGGGCCGCCCGATCGATCAACTTTTTTATCGATCCGCAACGGTTTCATTAGCGATCATTTGAGGCGGGACCGTTCCACTTGTGTTCCTTTTTCCTTTCGTCGTTTCCATGCGCAGCGTGAAGCGGTTTTTGCAGCTCTTTGCGGTTCTTTGATTCTTCGGTTCCTCGTTTTTTGAACCTGCGAATGTCGGGAACCTGGGCGTCGAAGAAATTATCGTCGGGGACACATTTTTTGAAAGGGTACAGAGTTCAATTCACAGTTGATTCACAATCTCTTGATCAAAACCCGGCTGAGCTAAATGCGACTTATGCGTGCACTCATAAATAGATTGCGGATCTTTGCGCGAATTCTCATTGTTTCGATTATTTTCATTACTGATGACATACAGTGGCCCACAAAAGTGTTCGTACACCTTTTAAAACATAACTTTTTTAAAACTGGACTAAGTGACTTGAATTTTTTTTAGATGATAGAGGGACTAGTATACTAGATAATGACCAAAATGTTTTTTTTTATTTTGTTATTATTTGGAATGACAAAGATAGACAGAAAACTCTC